TGGCTGGACCATGAGAGCTGAATTGCAGCACAGAGTCTGCGCAATCACTGGGGCTTGAACCTGTAAAAGCAGAGGGGTCCCCTTGTGATGACATCTGCCCTTTAGGGACAAAGGAGACTCCCCTGGTTCGGGCTACCAGGTTGGTCCACCCTGATAATCCCATTGTTTCCTCATTCCGGAACCTGGTGGTCCCATTGCGCGGCCTTTTCTGCCAGGTCTTCCAGCTGCTGAAGCAGGAGAAGTGTGCCACTCAGGGTGAGCGCAGCCTCCAGCTGGAGTCGGCCAGGGCGCGCTGTATTTCCCTTAGTGTTCAGAGGTTCGCTCCCCTTGTAGTCTCTCTGCTTGCTGCTTGAGTTGACGTCTCGAAGGCACCTTGTTTTTTGGGTTTTCCATGGCCCTCTAGGTGGGAATGATTTGAAGAGAACTCAGGTGCGTTCTTCTGGATGTCCGTGATGCGGACCGCAGCTGCGGCTTCATCGAGGCCAGTGGCGGATGACTTTTTGGGTGTTTGTGTAGAGACCTGCGGCTTAGAGAGCCTTGCTTAGAGGTGACGACTGGGGTTTCTGTGGCAGAATCCCCATGCAGGGCGCGCTCCACGAGCCGACGAGCTTCCAGAACCCCCTCTTCAAGCGGGCCGGGCAGCCTCGGGTTTTTGGAAGATCTTTTGGGATGTCGAGGCGGCGCGCGGGGGCTTCTTTGCCTCCAGGTGCCCGAGCTCGTTCAGAAGTACCGCGGAGAGCAGCTGGTGGCCCGGAGCCCAAGCACCTGTGTACACGCCGTGGAGTGAGTGCCGCAGCAACTGACGTGACCGAAGTCGCAGCGTGTGCTCCGATTGCTACTTGGAGGTTCGTGGGTACGCATAAGTAGGGCACAAAGCAGGGTAACTATGGTTGAAGCTTATAACCTTATTTGGGGTGCTTGTCATCCTGCTTGTAATGCTACGCTGCTACACTTATAAGTCCCCATGAAGCTTCAAGCGCGGCATGTTCCGAGATCTTCCACTGCCAATTTTCCCTTCATCGTGGACCTCAGCCGGGCGCCAAGCCGAAGGTTTGTTTTCTACCTTGCGGCTGGCGCAACCCTGAACCCTCAACCCCCAAAATCCCTAAACACTAAACGCCTGAACCCCTGAACCCCCTCAACCCCTTAAACCCCTCAACCCCCTCAACCCCTCAACATTCAACCCTAAAACCCTAAACACCTGAGCTTAAGGTTGACCCACCTTGCCACCCACCCCGCGAATCCCTCGAGGTGTGCCAACTGGTACCGAAAGCAGGCCGACCCCAATCAGCGTGGGCCTTAGGTGCGACATATTCTGATGTGTTGGGTGTAGGGTTTAGGGTTTAGGTTTGAGAGTTAGGTTTCGGGTTTAGGATTTAGGGTTAGGGCTTAGGGCGGCCTGTAAGTGGACTTCGGCAGCAAGGACGACTTGCGCGTGACTTCGCAGCTAAGATGTTGAAGGCAGCTTCATCCGGAGCTCTTTTCTCGCCACGTCTGAAGAAGCCGGAAGGAGGAGAGGCTAAAATCACAGGGGCCCTGGCTAGCGTAGGTCCGACTGCACAAAAAGGAAGTCAGCGCAACCCTCCCCGAAACACCCAAGGGTACTCAGACTCTCAACCCTTGACCTGCACAAGAAGCATTTTTCAACGCAATCCTACACATGGGCCCGTAGGCGTCGAAATCTGCTGGAAGGAAGCCCCAAAAGGGGCCCATATTTTAAGAGACCCCCTCCCCCCAAATGCATGTACTTATTTCGCTGCTAAGTATTACGAGCACGATTGATCATACATGTGTTCTACATACCGGACCAGAACCCTAAACCCTAAACCCTAAGCCCTGAACCCTAAACCCTAAACCCTAAACCCTAAACCCTCAAGAGACAATTAGAGATAATTTATTTGTGATATCATTGGTGAATTTCACAGGTTGCAAAATGAATGGGAGGCCACAAAAGGCCCCAAGAGGCGAAAGGCCGCGGGAGGCTGCAAAAGGCCCCTCCGCAAAAGGTTCCGGCCTGAAAAGAGGGCCCGGGTCAAAACGTTTCGATCAAAACGCTATAGGGGCCCAAACCCAAGACAGTTTCTATCAACCCTAAGCCCAGAAAGCTTAAACCGCAAAACCTACAGCCTGAACCTAAAGAGTGGTTGCCGGTGGAAAGGCGCGTTGGAGTTCTGGACCGCGGCTTCCGGGGCTGGCAGCAGCAGAAGCTGCCCGTGGGGGCACCCGGGTCGTGATGTTAGCTAAACCGTACACCTGAAACGGTTTAGGGTTTAGGGTTTAGGATTTAGGGTTTAGGTTTCGGGTTTAGGGCCTCAAACCCGAATGGCTTTCCAGGCCTTAAACCCCAAACCCTAAACCCTAAACCCTAAACCCTCAACCCTCAACCCTCAACCCTAAACCCTAAACCCTAAACCCTAAACCCTAAACCCTAAACCCTAAACCCTAAACCTAAACCCTAAACCATTGGGCCATGGATGTGAGGATCGCGATTCCACGTGCTGGCTAGCTAGTGTTGGTACATGTTGCCACCAGGTGCCCTTCTTCGTTCTTGGCCTCAGCGGGGCCCTTTTGCCCCTTTTTTGGGTTCCAGGTTCCCTTGGAACAGGAGCATGGTTACTGGGCTACCAAAAACTTGCTGAGCTCCCTTCTCCAGAAGGGCTCCGATCCAGATGCGGGTACCATACCCCAAGACCTAAGATGGAACAAGGCATGACCAATAGGATCCTGTGCCAAGATTCGCTCACCAAATAAGCCCTAAACCCCCCCTGAACCCTGATCCCTAAACCCTACACCCTAAACCCTAGACCCTAAACCCTAAACCCCTAAACCCGCGCGACTGGAGGTCGTGCAATCACATCCGGAATCTCAGATTCAGGCTCGACACTTTGACGCCCGTGAGCGCCGGCGGCTGTCCTGCTAGCCTTTATCGAAAGCTGTCCAGGGTTTTAGGGTCGGTCTAGGGTTCACCGTTTAGGGTTTTCAGGGTTTAGGGTTGTCAACTCGCTAAGAAGGAACCACAAGGTTGGAGCCTTGAGATGCAGACTCCACACTCCGCACCCCAAACGGCCTGTCAGAGTCATGTTGGGCACCAGGCCGCGGCCAACCGGCACGCCCTGTCCGTGGGCAGGCGCATGGCAGGCGATGGCCCCGGGGCTCGGGGGCTCTTGGGGTCCTCGGAGGGTAGAGATGCAGCTACCTGTTTTTTCGGGAGGTGCTGGAGCATGAAGCCCTCGAGAGGCACCGAGGGATGAGGTTTAGGAGTTGACGGGTTTAGGGTTCAGGGTTTCGTGCGTTCGAAGGCCCGCCGCAGTCATGCGAAAACGATGGCGGCGACGGAGTGAGACTAGGTTGACATCCCCTCTCGCCTGCATAGGAGCCTAGACATGTCCGTCCTCATGTCACATGTCTGTCTCGGTTGCCGTCTTCTCCTCGATCGGATGACGCGCTTTCAAGGGACACGCCTGTTCTACACATCAATGGATCAGACTCTTCCGCTCTTCCACTCTTCCACTGTGCTTGGACGAGAGTTCCGGAGGCGGCGCCGACCCATTCGGACCTCTGCCACAGGGGCATATCTTCACTGGAGGCGGGCTGACGATCAGGATGGCAGGGTTTTGCATCCCGGAAGCGCTAGGACCGCTAGGAAAGTACGAGAATGCTGCATGGGCTTAGGATCCAGAACGCTTGTCAGCTTACCTGCAGGTTCATGGGCACTAAGAACTAGGGTTAAAGGTACCCTAAATAAGGTAGCAAACCTTAGTTACCCTACTTACACACCTACTTAGAAGCACCCGTGAACCTCCAAGTAGCAGTGCTCTTGTGAAAAAAACACGCCCGGCAGGCAGTCTCCGGGTGTCTGGACCTGCGTGTGAGTTTCCTTTGCAGACTCCAGCGACTTACCCGGTGCGAAAAGGCTACATGCTGCACATGCGGAGGAAGGCGCTGTAGTTGCCGAGGTAGGCCCAAGGGAAGAAAAGTCGCTGTTGCAAAGGTTTTCAATCGCTTCACTTCATTGCTTTCAATGCGTCTTGGTAGCCGAGCAGTGCCCTGTTGCCCTTGTGTTGGATTCCAGGGTCCCTTTTTCATGTACGAAACCCCGAGAAGGGTGCCCTTGTAACAAATATGGCAAGGCTACCAAAGATTGCGCCGTCGAACGTGGGCAAAGCTCCCCTCTCCGTAGGACATACTTGAATCCTTGAAGGTTCATGGGTACTTAGAAGTAGGGATATACAGTATGCCTAGACTTATAAGGCAACTATGGCTATAGCCTTCTTAAGGGTACTTAGAAGCCTTCTTGTAAGCACCCATGACACCTTCAAGTACTTGACGTGAACGATTCTGGGCCAACTCGCGGCGCCCTACGTGCTGTAGAAATTTGGGCTGAGGGTCTTGGTGGTTGACAGGGTTTAGAGGGGCCTTTTCGGGGTTTAGGGGGTTCAGGGAGGCCGTGACTCACTCAGCCCACGGTCCAGACCACACGGGCTCTTTGAAGTTGCCTCGGCAAGGGGGAGGTCCAAAGTACCCTCCTCCGCCCGTGTATCGCGTTCTCAGCGACACGCTTCGCCACACCCAACAACGAAAGGGCTTCAGTTGCTGTAAGCTTGAGTCGTGGCCACAAGCTTTATGCTGTAGGCGTAGGGGTATTGTAGGCCTATTACTAGGGGCATCATCGGACTCTTATAGGGCGATTATAAGGCGCCAATAGTGCGATTATATGTACTGGGCAGATACAGGGCGGACTTGGAGTCTTTGTAGTGTGTCTTTTGGATCAGCGTAAAGTGATTCTGGGGGTTATCAGCCATGGCGAGGTCAACCACAGGCACAGTGCACGGTGCTCATGGTCACCGATGGTCCCGATGGTGCCCTCAAACAGGGCTCGTGAATTCACCATAATCGACGTGGAGCCCCGACTGATGGACATTCGGCTCGAGACTGGCAGGTGAGCCTCATCCGCATTTCAAGCTGCTTGAAGGCGGCCCGGATTTGCAGCTCCCCCTGCGATGCAGACCAACGTGCGCGGCCCAGATCGGTCAACCCGAAAAACCTTGAGGGTTTAGGGTTCAGGATTTAGGGTTGAGGGGAAACCCGAACCCCTCAACCCTAAGCCATAAAAGCCTGCATCTTCGCTGAGGTTCCGCATTACGTCATGCCCACGGCTCCTCGTGCCGCGGCCTTGGGCACGCGAGCGTGGGCTACCACGGGGCTTTCGTGGACTTGTGGTGGCTGAGGGTTTAGGGGTTTAGGGGTTTAGGGGTTTAGGGGTTTAGGGTTTAGGGGTTTAGGGGTTTAGGGGTTTAGGGGTTTAGGGGTTTAGGGGTTTAGGGGTTTAGGGGTTTAGGGGTTTCGGGGTTTCGGGGTTTAGGGTTTAGGTTTATATCGGTGGTCCCCCCCACTCCTGGTTCCTGATCTATCACATATGTCACGATTTATTGTTGTGAGAGGGGCTCATGGGGACTTGCTTGATCCCTGCAACGCGCACAGACAGAGCGACAGCGCGAACGCATGACAACCAAAAAGAAATAGCGGAAGACAGAAAGAACTGACATAAGTAAAAAAAGAAAGAAATACAGACATAGCGAGCCTATGAAAGTTCAGAATAAAGGAAAACGTATGAAAAGAAAGAAGTACAGAAAGAGAGAGCGAGAGAGAGAGAGAGAGAGAGAGAGAGAGCGAGAGAGAGAGAGAGAGAGAGAGACAGAGAGGGAGAGATGTCCTTGGGTTTTCTTCAGGATTCCCCAAGACTTTCTGGGATTTTGAGAGGGCGTCTCCGGAACCGCAGGGATCTCCTGAGATTTCCTCTGCTTTTCTGAGGATTTCCTGGGTGGTCTTAGGATTTCCGTATCCGGAGCACAAGGAAAGCCGCATGCATGCTTGCCTCACAGAGCATCATCCGGTCGGTCGCTCTGTTGCTTCAGGGTTTATAGGGTTTCGGGTTCAGGGTTCAGGGTTTACGACAGGGTGGCCCCTGCTTTTCAATGCCACGCATGCTTGCCTTGCAAAGGTGGGCTTTCAGGCTCCTGGCCGAGCACTGCCAGTGCAGGCCAGGGGTTTGGGGGGTTTGGGTTGAGGGGATTTTGGACCTGGGGCTTGATGTTCGGGTTGAGCCCGAGTCTTTAAGGCCCATACATGGATTGCGGAAGATAGTCGTTGAGGATTCAGGGTCCGGAGTCTGGGGGCTTGAAGCTTGCCATGCTCACACGGCTGGCATCTTGGCACCGGCCACATGGCCATCTGGTCTTTGGTGCAGTGTCCGGGTTAATGTCCGGTTTTTGAGACCCCAGACCCCAAAGCCTAAAACCCTCAAGCCCCTGCACAATGAAAGGCTTCAAGGGTCAGGCCAGAGCCTCCTCGAAGCTTTCCCCCCGGGCCTTCTTCCATAAACCCCAAACCCTAAAGTGCAGCCTGATTTTTTTCACACAGAATCTACATGAATCTACATGGAGACTAGGATCTCTCAGTGAGACTACGGACAGAGACTCTTCCTTACAAGCCATTTGTACTCCAGATTCCGTATCCGGGTCTCAGGGTCGGTCTCAGGGTCAGAGCTGGACTGGAAGCCTTTGGTCGTCTTGTTTCTGGAGTGTTCGTGATCACACCGAGGGGGGGTTGGAGTCTTGGGCAGGTGCGAGCAATGCAGGCATTACCGCCCATGCAGCGCCAGGCTCAGATGACGCCTTTGATTCCCCATCATGGACTCCAGTACCTGGTATCCGCCCAACAGCCTTTCATGTTTCTCCTAGAAGGGACAACATGTTGTAGTGGGGTACCAGGTGCCCAGGGGCCCGTGGGCGATCCAAGATGATGTGTGCTTGAGGTTTGGTGGAAGCAGACGGTTTCCGGACTCTGACAGTGCTATAGTGCAAGGCCTAAACCCAAAGGCTGAATACCCGAAACCACTGAGGATCTACATGTACCACCCTGCGCCGCTGCCTCCGATGGCCCCTCATGCTGTCAGCCTTGCAAGTTTAGACCAACTGAAAGCGGTGCTGCTGCTAATATACCCAGAAGACTCTGATCCTTCGAAACGGACCCCTCCTCCCCCCAATACAACCCGAAGCCCCAAACCCTAAACCCAAAACCCCCAAAGCTGTTCATGTAGAGGCCAGCGCAGGGTTGGGGCGCATGGCACGGGCTGTTTCTGTGGTGCCAGTCGCGACTTCAGGGTCTAGGGTTTGTAGGGTCTTGCAAGCACAGATCCTTTGAGCCAGGCCAACGTGCAATGGGGGCCTATCCCTGCCGGGGAGCCTAGATATGCGAGCGGACTTGCCGGTTATTTTGTGCATGTGTCTCTCCCACCATGCGACAACTGATGTTGATGCGGACCAGGCCCTTGCAACCTAGTGCCAAGCTTCCCCAACGACAGGTGGGTGTGCCCATTGCGCACAAGCCCTTTGTCTCATCTTGCAGGCAGGCCGTCCATGCACTTCCTTTGTTTTTTTGCATGACTACTGTTGACTGCTGTTCATGAGTTTGGTGCGCGGCCGGTGACATCGATAGCGGGGTGCAGGAGCTACATCCCGCAAAAGGCTCCCATGGCTGCTGCCCAGGACAGTCTTGCTGCTGCTGTATGGTCTTGGTAATCTGGTTCGAAGTGAGATGGTTGCGGCTATGGTCATGTCTCTGATCATGCGTGAGACTCTGCAAGGAAACCCTGTGCACAAAGATGGCCACGACCCCGGATGAGTCTGGGGCATGCGTCTGCTTTGACTTCCGCCAGCGGTCCTTCGTGCTCTGCATGGTCCCCTGTTATAATACACGTAGAGACTGAATATCCAGACCACATGAACATCCTTTCGTAATCACAGTGCTTGAAGTTGACAAGAGCAGAACGATGAAGGTTGGGTTGTGTCGACCGGTACGGAATGCGGACTGCAGCTTCTGCCAGTGCACGTGTGAGGCTAATGCGCCCTTTGTGCAGCCAGCTGCCGTGGCAGCCAGGCCCATGCGGGACGTCATCTGGGTGGTGGTAGGAGTGCAGTTCGCTGCAGCCGCATTCCCCTCAAAGCCAAGTTGCTCATCCTCTCACTAAGCCCCTGCCCTGCAATGCGAGTTCGTGCTAACTAGCTCAACGAAGAAGCGCGGCTGCAGGTCGTTTGCGCCTCAACAGCTGCGGGACCGCCCTGCTGTTTTTTTGGGAAAGCTGAGGCCGTGGCCTGTATTGTGGGTTTTTGAGTTTTTGGGCTTTTGAGTTTTGTTTTTTTTGGGTTTTTTGGGGTTTTCGGTGTTTGGGTTTTGTGGGTTTTGTGGGCTTTTGGGCTTTGGGGTGTCGCAGCGGCGCAAGCCTTCAGGACACGATCGATCCCAAGCCCAGAGCGAGCATCTCAGTGAGCCGCTTGTAGCCCGAACCGCTCCCTGACATCTTGGGGGACAGAGGTGGTCCTTGCTGCCGCAGTTCAGCGCAGACCGGCGCACTCTTTGACTGCGCCAGTGCTCAGGTCGAAGTGCGGGGCGCGACGAAAACCGTCGTGCACGCGCCAAGGCCTGAAGCCCAAACCCAGAGCGAGAGCTCCTTCGAGGCTCCCCAAGACCCTTCCTTAACATGGCACCCCCCGTTAAGCGCAGTCCCCCACAAGGGCCCCCTTCGTATGTTGTGGGTTTAGGGTTTAGGGTTTAGGGTTTAGGTTTTCGGTTTTGGGGTTTAGGGTTGTTGCAAGCTGCTCGCCCGGTTGCTCCCTATGTCTTGGCCTGATACTGGTCAGGGTTACTAAGGTTATGAAGGTTCATTAGGTTTACTGGGGATACGTGGGGGCTACTAGGGTTTACAAGGGCTTAAGGAGGCTCCGCGAAGGGCCTCTGTAAAGGGCCTCTCTTATCACTCTTTAAGTTCAGGGACCTCCCTTCAAAGGCTTCGTTTATCGGCCTCCTTTAAACGGTCGCGTCTTGGCTGAAGGCTTAGCCTTGTATTTTTATTGGTGTGTCTTGGCTTAGTAGAAAATTGCTTTGCTGATGGGGACGTCTTGACTCTTGACTTCATGTGTTGCTTGTTTCCGGCAGTGAGGTTGTTCTACATGTCCCAGCCCCAACCTCTAAACCCCACACCAGAAAAGCCCTAAACCCTAAACCCGAAACCCCTCCTGGACCTGAAATCCTAAAAGCCCGAGTTTAGGGTTTAGGGTTTGGCGATGGTTTGTTTAGGGCAAACCCTCAACCCGAAACCCTAAAACCCGTTTAGACTAAGAGTGCGCACAGGCCCGTTGGGCCGACTCTGGAACTTCAGGGGCCGGACTTTGCGGTGCCCCTGGACAAGGACACACCCTACACCCTACACCCTACACCCTACACCCTAAACCCTATAAACCCTAAACCCTAAACCCTCTACCCTAAACCCTATAAACCCTAAACCTTAAACCCTAAACCCTAAACCCTCAACCCTAAACCCTCAACCCTCAAACCCTCAACCCTCAACCCTCAAACCCTCAACCCTCAACCCTAAACCTTAAACCTTAAACTGTAAACCCTAGTTCAGGGTTTAGGGTCCTTATGCCTTCAGAGGGATTGCAGAAGTCTAGGGTATTCCTGATCCCAACTTTTGGGTGGATTTGCTCCTCCGAGGCTTGGGGGTCGGACGATGTCAGCTGCTCTATCTCCCAAAATGTGACTCTCCTATACGCCAGAATTCGTCAAAGAATGATTCGGCCTGCGTTGGCCAGGTGTTAAATGCATGTTTAACGCTGAGTCATGTCATAGTGGAAGTTGATGTTCACCACGGAGAGTGCCAGGGGGTGGAGAGGCTGGAGCCGGAGGAGGCGCAGGGTTTAGGGTTTAGGGTTTAGGGTTTAGGGCTTTATAGGGTCTATAGGGTTCAGGGTTTGAGGGAGTTTAGGGTTTCGGGTTTAGGGTTTAGGGTTCAGGGATTAGGGTTTGGGCATGTTTTTGTTTTTGCCCCCGACTTGAAGCTGCCAAGGTGTTGCTGTAGCAACATCGGCGGGCAGTTGGCTGGACCATGAGAGCTGAATTGCAGCACAGAGTCTGCGCAATCACTGGGGCTTGAACCTGTAAAAGCAGAGGGGTCCCCTTGTGATGACATCTGCCCTGTAGGGACAAAGAAGACTCCCCTGGTTCGGGCTACCAGGTTGGTCCACCCTGATAATCGGCCTCATTCCGGAACCTGGTGGTCCCATTGCGCGTCCGTTTCTGCCAGGTCTTCCAGCTGCTGAAGCAGAAGAAGTGTGCCCCTCACCTCCAGCTGGAGTCGGCCAGGGCGCGCTGTATTTCCCTTAGTGTTCAGAGGTTCGCTCCCCTTGTAGTCTCTCTGCTTGCTGCTTGAGTTGACGTCTCGAAGGCACCTTGTTTTTTGGGCCTTCCATGGCCCTCTAGGTGGGAATGATTTGAAGAGAACTCAGGTGCGTTCTTCTGGATGTCCGTGATGCGGACCGCAGCTGCGGCTTCATCGAGGCCAGTGGCGGATGACTTTTTGGGTGTTTGTGTAGAGACCTGCGGCTTAGAGAGCCTTGCTTAGAGGTGACGACTGGGTGCACGCTTTTTGCCAGTTTCTGTGGCAGAATCCCCATGCAGGGCGCGCTCCACGAGCCGACGAGCTTCCAGAACCCCCTCTTCAAGCGGGCCGGGCAGCCTCGGGTTTTGGAAGATCTTTTGGGATGTCGAGGCGGCGCGCGTGGGCTTCTTTGCCTCCAGGTGCCCGAGCTCGTTCAGAAGTACCGCGGAGAGCAGCTGGTGGCCCGGAGCCCAAGCACCTGTGTACACGCCGTGGAGTGAGTGCCGCAGCAACTGACGTGACCGAAGTCGCAGCGTGTGCTCCGATTGCTACTTGGAGGTTCGTGGGTACGCATAAGTAGGGCACAAAGCAGGGTAACTATGGTTGAAGCTTATAACCTTATTTGGGGGTGCTTGTCATCCTGCTTGTAATGCTACGCTGCTACACTTATAAGTCCCCATGAAGCTTCAAGCGCGGCATGTTCCGAGATCTTCCACTGCCAATTTTCCCTTCATCGTGGACCTCAGCCGGGCGCCAAGCCGAAGGTTTGTTTTCTACCTTGCGGCTGGCGCAACCCTGAACCCTCAACCCCCAAAATCCCTAAACACTAAACGCCTGAACCCCTGAACCCCCTCAACCCCTTAAACCCCTCAACCCCCTCAACCCCTCAACATTCAACCCTAAAACCCTAAACACCTGAGCTTAAGGTTGACCCACCTTGCCACCCACCCCGCGAATCCCTCGAGGTGTGCCAACTGGTACCGAAAGCAGGCCGACCCCAATCAGCGTGGGCCTTAGGTGCGACATATTCTGATGTGTTGGGTGTAGGGTTTAGGGTTTAGGTTTGAGAGTTAGGTTTCGGGTTTAGGATTTAGGGTTAGGGCTTAGGGCGGCCTGTAAGTGGACTTCGGCAGCAAGGACGACTTGCGCGTGACTTCGCAGCTAAGATGTTGAAGGCAGCTTCATCCGGAGCTCTTTTCTCGCCACGACTGCACAAAAAGGAAGTCAGCGCAACCCTCCCCGAAACACCCAAGGGTACTCAGACTCTCAACCCTTGACCTGCACAAGAAGCATTTTTCAACGCAATCCTACACATGGGCCCGTAGGCGTCGAAATCTGCTGGAAGGAAGCCCCAAAAGGGGCCCATATTTTAAGAGACCCCCTCCCCCCAAATGCATGTACTTATTTCGCTGCTAAGTATTACGAGCACGATTGATCATACATGTGTTCTACATACCGGACCAGAACGCTAAACCCTAAACCCTAAACCCTAAGCCCTGAACCCTAAACCCTAAACCCTAAACCCTAAACCCTAAACCCTAAACCCTAAACCCTAAACCTTGCCCAGCCCTGCTGGGGTTTACAGTGCATGCCCTTATATGGGCGGGCTTGCTTGGAGAAAGGGAGTCATTGCATTAAAAAAAAACCCTAAACCCTAAACCCTCAAGAGACAATTAGAGAGAATTTATTTGTGATATCATTGGTGAATTTCACAGGTTGCAAAAAATGAATGGGAGGCCACAAAAGGCCCCAAGAGGACAGAAAGGCCGCGGGAGGCTGCAAAAGGCCCCTCCGCAAAAGGTTCCGGCCTGAAAAGAGGGCCCGGGTCAAAACGTTTCGATCAAAACGCTATAGGGGCCCAAACCCAAGACAGTTTCTATCAACCCTAAGCCCAGAAAGCTTAAACCGTAAGCCGAAAGCCTAAACCCAAAGAGTGGTTGCCGGTGGAAAGGCGCGTTGGAGTTCTGGACCGCGGCTTCCGGGGCTGGCAGCAGCAGAAGCTGCCCGTGGGGGCACCCGGGTCGTGATGTTAGCTAAACCGTACACCTGAAACGGTTTAGGGTTTAGGGTTTAGGGTTTAGGGTTTCGGGTTTAGGGCCTCAAACCCCAATGGCTTTCCAGGCCTTAAACCCCAAACCCCAAACCCTAAACCCTAAACCCTCAACCCTCAACCCTCAACCCTAAACCCTAAACCCTAAACCTTAAACCCTAAACCCTAAACCCTAAACCCTAAACCCTAAACCATTGGGCCATGGATGTGAGGATCGCGATTTGTGCTGGCTAGCTAGTGTTGGTACATGTTGCCACCAGGTGCCCTTCTTCGTTCTTGGCCTCAGCGGGGCCCTTTTGCCCCTTTTTTTGGGTTCCAGGTTCCCTTGGAACAGGAGCCAACCCCGCAAAGCGGTGCCCTTGATTATGACATGGTTACTGGGCTACCAAAAACTTGCTGAGCTCCCTTCTCCAGAAGGGCTCCGATCCAGATGCGGGTACCATACCCAATGACCTAAGATGGAACAAGGCATGACCAGTAGGATCCTGTGCCAAGATTCGCTCACCAAATAAGCCCTAAACCCCCCCTGAACCCTGATCCCTAAACCCTACACCCTAAACCCTAGACCCTAAACCCTAAACCCCTAAACCCGCGCGACTGGAGGTCGTGCAATCACATCCGGAATCTCAGATTCAGGCTCGACACTTTGACGCCCGTGAGCGCCGGCGGCTGTCCTGCTAGCCTTTATCGAAAGCTCGAAAGCTGTCTAGGGTGTTAGGGTCGGTTTAGGGTTCAGCTTTCAGGGTTTTGAGGGTTTAGGGTTGTCAATTCCAAAGAGAAGGAGCCACGAGGTTTCGGCATTGATCTGCAGACTCCCAAGCCACCCCAAACGGCCTGTCAATCTGAGTCATGTTGGGCACCAGGCCGCGGCCAACCGGCACGCCCTGTCCGTGGGCAGGCGCATGGCAGGCGATGGCCCCGGGGCTCGGGGGCTCTTGGGGTCCTCGGAGGGCACTCAGAGATGCAGCTACCTGTTTTTTCGGGAGGTGCTGGAGCATGAAGCCCTCGAGAGGCACCGAGGGATGAGGTTTAGGAGTTGAGGGTTTCGGGTTTAGGGTTTCGTGCGTTCGAAGGCCCGCCGCAGTCATGCGAAAACGATGGCGGCGACGGAGTGAGACTAGGTTGACATCCCCTCTCGCCTGCATAGGAGCCTAGACATGTCCGTCCTCATGTCACATGTCTGTCTCGGTTGCCGTCTTCTCCTCGATCGGATGACGCGCTTTCAAGGGACACGCCTGTTCTACACATCAATGGATCAGACTCTTCCGCTCTTCCACTCTTCCACTGTGCTTGGACGAGAGTTCCGGAGGCGGCGCCGACCCATTCGGACCTCTGCCACAGGGGCATATCTTCACTGGAGGCGGGCTGACGATCAGGATGGCAGGGTTTTGCATCCTGGAAGCGCTAGGAAAGTACGAGAATGCTGCATGGGCTTAGGATCCAGAACGCTTGTCAGCTTACCTGCAGGTTCATGGGCACTAAGAACTAGGGTTAAAGGTACCCTTAATAAGGTAGCAAACCTTAGTTGCCCTACTTACACACCTACTTAGAAGCACCCGTGAACCTCCAAGTAGCAGTGCTCTTGTGAAAAAAACATGCCCGGCAGGCAATCTCCGGGTGTCTGGACCTGCGTGTGAGTTTCCTTTGCAGACTCCAGCGACTTACCCGGTGCGAAAAGGCTACATGCTGCACATGCGGAGGAAGGCGCTGTAGTTGCCGAGGTAGGCCCAAGGGAAGAAAAGTCGCTGTTGCAAAGGTTTTCAACCGCTTCACTTCATTGCTTTCAATGCGTCTTGGTAGCCGAGCAGTGCCCTGTTGCCCTTGTGTTGGATTCCAGGGTCCCTTTTTCATGTACGAAACCCCGAGAAGGGTGCCCTTGTAACAAATATGGCAAGGCTACCAAAGATTGCGCCGTCGAACGTGGGCAAAGCTCCCCTCTTCGTAGGACATACTTGAATCCTTGAAGGTTCATGGGTACTTCGAAGTGGGGATATACAGTATGGCTAGACTTATAAGTAAGGCAACTATGGCTATAGCCTTCTTTAGGTTTCTTAGAAGCCTTCTTGTAAGCACCCATGAACCTTCAAGTACTTGACGTGAACGATTCTGGGCCAACTCGCGGCGCCCTACGTGCTGTAGAAATTTGGGCTGAGGGTCTTGGTGGTTGACAGGGTTTAGAGGGGCCTTTTCGGGGTTTAGGGGGTTCAGGGAGGCCGTGACTCACTCAGCCCACGGTCCAGACCACACGGGCTCTTTGAAGTTGCCTCGGCAAGGGGGAGGTCCAAAGTACCCTCCTCCGCCCGTGTATCGCGTTCTCAGCGACACGCTTCGCCACACCCAACAACGAAAGGGCTTCAGTTGCTGTAAGCTTGAGTCGTGTAGGCCACAAGCTTTATGCTGTAGGCGTAGGGGTATTGTAGGCCTATTACTAGGGGCATCATCGGACTCTTATAGGGCGATTATAAGGCGCCAATAGTGCGATTATATGTACTGGGCAGATACAGGGCGGACTTGGAGTCTTTGTAGTGTGTCTTTTGGATCAGCGTAAAGTGATTCTGGGGGTTATCAGCCATGGCGAGGTCAACTACAGGCACAGTGCACGGTGCTCATGGCCACCGATGGTGCCCTCAAGCAGGGCTCGTGAATTCACCATAATCGACGTGGAGCCCCGACTGATGGACATTCGGCTCGAGACTGGCAGGTGAGCCTCATCCGCATTTCAAGCGGCTTGAAGGCGGCCCGGATTTGCAGCTCCCCCTGCGATGCAGACCAACGTGCGCGGCCCAGATCGGTCAACCCGAAAAACCTTGAGGGTTTAGGGTTCAGGATCTAGGGTTGAGGGGAAACCCGAACCCCTCAACCCTAAGCCATAAAAGCCTGCATCTTGCATGTGCATTGGCTGAGGTTCCGCATTACGTCATGCCCACGGCTCCTCGTGCCGCGGCCTTGGGCACGCGAGCGTGGGCTACCACGGGGCTTTCGTGGACTTGTGGTGGCTGAGGGTTTAGGGGTTTAGGGGTTTAGGGGTTTAGGGGTTTAGGGGTTTAGGGGTTTAGGGGTTTAGGGGTTTAGGGTTTAGGGGTTTAGGGGTTTAGGGTTTAGGGGTTTAGGGGTTTAGGGGTTTAGGGGTTTAGGGGTTTAGGGGTTTCGGGGTTTCGGGGTTTCGGGGTTTAGGGTTTAGGTTTATATCGGTGGTCCCCCCCACTCCTGGTTCCTGATCTATCACATATGTCACGATTTATTGTTGTGAGAGGGGCTCATGGGGACTTGCTTGATCCCTGCAACGCGCACAGACAGAGCGACAGCGCGAACGCATGACAACCAAAAAGAAATAGCGGAAGACAGACAGAAAGAACTGACATAAGTAAAAAAAGAAAGAAATACAGACATAGCGAGCCTAATTATGAAAGTTCAGAATAAAGGAAAACGTATGAAAAGAAAGAAGTACAGAAAGAGAGCACGAGAGAGAGAGAGAGAGAGAGAGAGAGAGAGAGAGAGACAGAGAGGGAGAGATGTCCTTGGGTTTTCTTCAGGATTCCCCAAGACTTTCTGGGATTTTGAGAGGGTGTCTCCGGAACCGCAGGGATCTCCTGAGATTTCCTCTGCTTTTCTGAGGATTTCCTGGGTGGTCTTAGGATTTCCGTATCCGGAGCACAAGGAAAGCCGCATGCATGCTTGCCTCACAGAGCATCATCCGGTCGGTCGCTCTGTTGCTTCAGGGTTTATAGGGTTTCGGGTTCAGGGTTCAGGGTTTACGACAGGGTGGCCCCTGCTTTTCAATGCCACGCATGCTTGCCTTGCAAAGGTGGGCTTTCAGGCTCCTGGCCGAGCACTGGCAGTGCAGGCCAGGGGTTTGGGGGGTTTGGGTTGAGGGGATTTTGGACCTGGGGCTTGATGTTCGGGTTGAGCCCGAGTCTTTAAGGCCCATACATGGATTGCGGAAGATAGTCGTTGAGGATTCAGGGTCCGGAGTCTGGGGGCTTGAAGCTTGCCACCCCAAAGCCTAAAACCCTCAAGCCCCTGCACAATGAAAGGCTTCAAGGGTCAGGCCAGAGCCTCCTCGAAGCTTTCCCTCCGGGCCTTCTTCCATAAACCCCAAACCCTAAAGTGCAGCCTGATTTTTTTCACACAGAATCTACATGAATCTCATGGAGACTAGGATCTCTCAGACTATTGACAGAGATTCTTCCTTACAAGCCATTTGTACTCCAGATTCCGTATCCCGGTCTCAGGGTCGGTCTCAGGGTCAGAGCTGGACTGGAAGCCTTTGGTCGTCTTGTTTCTGGAGTGTTCGTGATCACACCGAGGGGGGGTTGGAGTCTTGGGCAGGTGCGAGCAATGCAGGCATTACCGCCCATGCAGCGCCAGGCTCAGATGACGCCTTTGATTCCCCATCATGGACTCCAGTACCTGGTATCCGCCCAACAGCCTTTCATGTTTCTCCTAGAAGGGACAACATGTTGTAGTGGGGTACCAGGTGCCCAGGGGCCCGTGGGCGATCCAAGATGATGTGTGCTTGAGGTTTGGTGGAAGCAGACGGTTTCCGGACTCTGACAGTGCTATAGTGCAAGGCCTAAACCCAAAGGCTGAATACCCGAAACCACTGAGGATCTACATGTACCACCCTGCGCCGCTGCCTCCGATGGCCCCTCATGCTGTCAGCCTTGCAAGTTTAGACCAACTGAAAGCGGTGCTGCTGCTAATATACCCAGAAGACTCTGATCCTTCGAAACGGACCCCTCCTCCCCCCAATACAACCCGAAGCCCCAAACCCTAAACCCAAAACCCCCAAAGCTGTTCATGTAGAGGCCAGCGCAGGGTTGGGGCGCATGGCACGGGCTGTTTCTGTGGTGCCAGTCGCGACTTCAGGGTCTAGGGTTTGTAGGGTCTTGCAAGCACAGATCCTTTGAGCCAGGCCAACGTGCAATGGGGGCCTATCCCTGCCGGGGAGCCTAG